TCGTACTCGTCCCCGGCCCACCCAGAACTCCCTGCCCGCCAGCCTTGGCTGAGGTGCCCCTGCAGGAAGCTGACCCTTCGCCTCCACCACAGGGGGCCCCTCCCGTCACCGACCCGCAAGGAGCCTGCCTTGTGATTCCCCAAGGCCTGGCTGGGGTGCCGTGCCCACAGTGGGGAGGCCTGCCCGCCTATGTCTGGGGCCTGGGGCAGGTCTGGCTGTTCTGAGCTCCACAGTCGTCCCCCTAGGCCTCATCCCTCCAGCTGTGGGTGTGCGGTGTCTCAGCTGGTCCTGTTAGTAGGAGCCCCTCGAACCCTAACAATGTCTTTTACTCACGTTTCTGTGGGGGATTATTATCTTAGTGATTTGTAGGTTCTTTAAATATTCATTTGCTTTCTGCCTTGATGGCATTGGCTTTTCTTTTGTTGTTGTTAACTCTTAGCTGAGGATATTTTTCCATTGTTTTTTTCTAGAGAGAGTGGAAGGGAGGGAGGAAATGAAGGGGGGGAAGAGAAAGAGAGGGAGAGGGAGAAAAACATCAATGTGAGAGAGACACATGGATCGGTTGCCTCCTACATGCGCCCCAATGGGGGCCGGAAATTGAACCTGCAAAAAAGGTGCAGGCTGGGAACCAAACACCCAACCCTTTGGTGCATGGGCCGGTGCTCTAATCACTGAGCCACACCAGCCAGGGCACTTTTCTTTCATTTTATTTGGAAATAATTTCAAATTTATTTTAAATAATACAATGGTGCAGAGGACACCCACATACCTTACTTTGTCATTTGCGCCCGTTCCCCCCCCCATATGTTTCTGTGTGCACAAACCCCCCCACACACACAGTGTCCCCGAGCCTGGCGTGGCCTGGCCGCGATGCTCACTCCTCCTGCCCGGCTCCTGTCCTCTCGTCCCCCGCAGCTCTACCTGACGAAGCAGGAGCTGCAGCGCCAGAGGCTGTCTGCCTCCTGTGAGCGGGAGTTCCGAGAGCGGTCCCTACAGATGGCAGACGGCCTGGAGCCCGGAGCGGAGGAGCTGAGCCGCTTGAAGGAGGAGAACGAGAAGCTCCGCTCCCTGACGTTCAGCCTGGTAGGCCCAGCCCACTTCTCCCCGTGCCCCCGAGGCTGGGCTTCTGACACTCCTGGGGAGGGTGGCTAGGGGCCCGGTAATGGAAACCTAGTGACAGCCCGCCGACCCCAGCCCCGGCGCTGGCGGGATTAGTGGGACGTCGCTCAGCTCCTCTGCCACGGCTAAGCTGCCTCGGAGAGGACTGGGCTGGTTACAAGTGGTGGGGTTCACTTCAAAGTTGGGGGGCAGGGAAGGAAACCTGTCTGCCTGCAGAATGCGCTGCATTGGAGAGTGGGGAGCTCTGGATGCAGGGTCAGGGACCCCAGCTCCCGGAATTGGGCAGCCCCTTAGCCCCTCCCATTTCTTTGACTCAATAAGTACCTGCTTTTGAGCTGTTCCTTCGGGAGATGCCTGCTCAGCGCAGAGCTTGCCATCCTGCGTCCCGGCCCGCTCCCCCCCCCGCCACCTGCAGAGTGAGCCCCAGGAGTCTGGTATTGCTGGGTCCCTCTCGGGAGCTCCCTTGCAAGTGCCTAAAGCAGGAGGCTCTACCCTGAGAGGCCTGGGCCTCCAGCACCTTCCAGTCCTGCCAGCCACGCCCAGCAGAGCCCAAGGGCAGCTTCCTTCCCCCCCCCCCCCCAGGCCTCTGTTTGGCCTTGTGGGCAGTAATGTCACTCACCCACCTGCCAGCAGCCTCCAGCTCCCGTTCCTGGGACAAGCTTCCCAGGAGCAGGCGTGTGGGAGCGGGGCCGGCTGACCCCTCTGTGCCCCAGGCGGAGAAGGACATCCTGGAGCAGAGCCTGGACGAGGCCCTGGAGAGCAAGCAGGAGATGGTGGACCGCATCCACTCGCTGAGGGAGCGGGCCGTGGCCGCCGAGCGGCAGCGGAAGCAGGTGACCGCGGGCTTCACGCTGGGGAGACGGACTTTTCAGTCCATGCTGAGCTTAAGACCAAGTTTGCCTAAGTAACGGGTCACTCGTTAGTTTGTTCCTGGGTCAAAGCTGTGTTAGCACCAACTCACAGTCCGAGACTAGAGCCACGGCCAGTGGGTGGGTGATGAGCAAACAGGCCAGGCACATAGGCGGTGAGAACAAGGGCACGTGCAGGTGCATGGGGCCCGGTGAGAGCCAGGGGTTTGATCTGTGGCTGCAAATGGTGAGGGGACGGTGGGGAGACGGCCGGTGGACGAGCATGAGCAGGTGAGAGGAGTTACCTCTGCGCCCTGCTCTGGGCGTGGGATGAACAAAACAGCCACACGCGCAGCGCCCACGCGGATCTGGATGGCTCAGCGCCGTCTGGTGAGCACAGCATCTCTGCGGTGCTCCTGGAAATCGCACTCGGGGAGCGCGCGCGAGAGCTCACCCTGTTTCTCCCCCTCCTGTCCTCCACGGCTCTGACCCCTCGGTCCAGTTCTGGGAAGAGAAGGAGCAGACCCTGCTGCAGTTCCAGAAGACCAGGGTGGACTGTGAGATCTACAAGGAGAAGGTGACCGCCCTGCAGAGCCAGGTGGCCGAGCTGCAGAAGGAGCGGGACCAGGTACTGGAGAGGCGGCGAGGCCGGGAGAACAGGAGCTGGGGGCTGGCGGCCTCGTGCAGCCCGCCCTGCCCTCCGTGGCAGCTGCTTCCAGACTTGGGGTCTCCTTCCTTGGTCCAGGCGGTTTCTCAACTCCCTCCATTGTCACCTGCTGACGTGCTCACTGTCCGAGACTAGAGGTCACGTCTAGGGCCTCCCTTCATTTCTGTGTGCACTCTGGGCGGTGGTACACCCACACACGTGACACGATTGTGAACGGTGGCATGTGCCTGCGGGTGAGCCAGTGTTCGCCTCCTCATGCCCGGGGCGCCCTGTGTCCCGGCCCGCAGGCCTACTCGGCCCGAGACGCCGCCCAGGTGGAGATTGCCCAGAGCCTGGCGGAGAAGGACGCGCTCCGCAGGAAGGTGTTTGAGCTCACGGACCAGGGCTGCGACCTGCGCCAGCAGCTCCGCCAGCTGCAGGCTGAGTCGGCACAAGGGGTGAGTCCTGCCCTGCCGTGCACCTGGGAGCAGGGGCAGCATGTGTGTGGGGGGGAGGGGGCCAGTGGGAGGCAAGCTGGGCCCCATGCACGAGCCCTGGTGGCGGGCATTGGAGATGCACAGTGGGCAGCTGGGGCTGCTCTACCTCTCCCTTCATGATGATGTCATGCACGTCCTGGTAGGGGTGGCCCGACAGAAGGTTCTGGAACCTGTCAGGTGTGGTGTTGGGCTGAGGAAAGAAAGACGAAGTTGAGCTAAAACGACTATAAAAGCCCTAGTTACGGTCTGGCTGGCAGCTCCAGTCCAGGCACCTGGTGTACAGGCAGGGGCCCTGCCCTCTGAGCGCACAGCCCCAGCCCTTCCTCCTCACCCTCCCACATCAGCCACGTGCAAAACACATGTATGCGCAGAGCAGACTGACGGGCAGGCGCACACTGCTGACTGCGGGTCTGCATGTTGGAGGGTGGGTGAATTTCTCTTTTCTGATTGGTCTGCCCCCCCCCCCATTTTCTATGTGCAGTGTGTATAGACACATGTACATACATTATGTACCAGGTGTATAACCAGGAAAGAACGGTGTGCACAGGGGTGGGGAACGTCCAGCCCATATAAGGCCCACAAAATCATTTGGTCTGGCCCTACCAAGGCATTAAGGGTGAGTTAATTAAATGTTTGATCAAATAAAGTAGGCTAATTTTTAAAAATGTTTTCTTTTTAAAATCCTATATAATAAGAGGGTAATATGCAAATTAGGTGGAATGACTAGAACGACTGCCCGACCAGTCACTATGAGGCGCACTGACCACCTCTTGGTCCCTTTCCCCGGCTGGCAGGCTCCGATCGCCATATGGCGAATGGGGAACCGGGGGGGGGTGGCAGTGGGGGGCGGGGCCAGCTGCAGGCAGCCAGGGAAGAAGGCCCTGATCTCAGGCCAGGCCTAGGGATTGTATCCACGCACGAATATCGTGCACCGGGCCTCTGGTATATTTATATTGGTTTCAGAGAGGAAGGGAGAGGGAGAGAGAGATAGAAACATCAGCGATGAGAAAGAATCATGGATCGGCTACCTCCTATATGCCCCCTACTGGGGATTGAGGCTGCAACCCGGGCTTGTGCCCTGACCAGGAATCGAACCGTGACCTTCTGGTTCATAGGTTGATGCTCAGTCATTGAGCCACACCTGTTGGGCACCGGCTAATTTTTAAGCTGATAATTTTGTATGGCCCGTGAATGATGGCATACATATCCAAATGGGCCTTGGCAGAAAAAAGGTTCCCACCCCTGACGTATACCCTCTACTAGAAATGCAGTGCCGCCCCCCAAGCCCAGTGCTCTGCATCCCGGTGGCCAGCGGGGGTCCCAGACTGGAAGCCATGAGAGAGGGTGGAGATGGGGGTGGTGCCTGGGTAGAAACCCCGAGAGCATCCGAGGGGACCCTTTCCTGAATTAACCAGCCCGTCTGGCGCCTTTGCAGCCCAAGCAGGAGGCGGGGCCGAGGGAGCCCTGGCGGAGGGGAAAGCAGCGGCTGGTGCGCATGTTCGCCATCTGCCCGCGGGACGACGGTGACGGCAGCTGCCTCAGCTCCTCCGAGGTACAGCGGCGCCCTCCGCTCCTGGGGACAGACCAGTGCAGACAGAAGGGCCCGGCACGTAGGAGGTGCTGAAGGGAGACTTCAGTGGACCAGGGGCTGCATCCAGGCCCTCACTCAGCACCTGGCATCCTGTGCCCCACTCAGCACCCTGCACAGCCCACCCATCAGCACGTGACCCTCACTAGCCAGTCCCCTGGTCTCTCAGGGCCTTGATCACTTTCTATGTAAAGTGGGAAGATTATTTTTTATATTTATTGTGAGGACTAAGCGACATAAAATACAGGAAACAGCTAATAGAGTGCTGGCACATAGTAGGTGCTCAACGAATGTGCCCTGGCTGTGAGCTCCCCTTCCCCTCCCTGTCCCCTCCTCAGCCCTGATGTTGGTGGCCGTGGCTTATTCCCTTTCCAGAGCAGGGAGGGGTCGTGAGCCCATGAGCTCCCGCTGACCCTGCCTCGCTGTCCTCCTGTCTCAGCTCTGGTCGGACCTGAGCGCCACGCCCAGCCGCGAGCTGGTGGACAGCTTCCGCTCCAGCAGCCCCATGCCCCCCAGCCAGCTGTCCCTGTACAAGCGAGCCGCCGAGGACTTCCGGGAGGATGCTTGGTCCTTCAGGTAGAGAGGACGGCATCAGCATCGGATGACACGGGTCCCCTGCTGGCTCACCGGGGACGAGGGCCGGGCAGGCGCTGGGTGCTCCGGTCCCAAGCCGTCCTCCCTTCCTCCGCGCAGTGGCTTCTCAGAAATCCTGGAGGGGGACTGGGGAGGCTGCCCGGGAGCGAAGGCGGCTGACGTCGACCTGGATTACGAGATTGTAGACAGAGCAGGTGAGTGTGTCCCTCTGCCAACCTCTGCAGCCGCCCACCTCCCCTGGGCTGGGCCAGGAGGGGACACGAGGACAGGTCTTCCCTGGGCCCAGGCAGAGGGAGGGGAACTGGACCGCTGCCCTGACCCTGGCCCCTGGCAGTTCAGGCCGGTGCCAGCTGCTCTGTGTCCTGGGTGTCCTGTCCATTGTCACCAAGCGGTGAGGGAGTTGTCTCCATGCCTGCTCAGCCCAGATGTTCAGACAGCTGCTCGTTCCGTCCCTCGTGCTCTGGACCCTGGGCACTCGGGCTGCCAGGGACAGCACGGCGCCAGGCTGTAGTGCTCCCTCCTGCTGGCCGAGGCACCTGTGGGAGCCTCTCTCCCCTTTCCCTGTGGCTTATGCCTTGTATCTGTCACTTAACTGGTTCTCTCTCCTCAAGCCGTGTGCCCCTCATGTCGGCCTCCTTACCTTCCCACCCTGCACACCTACCCCAGTCTTGGGCCTCACACAGAGTAGGTGCTCAGCACCCCACCTGGAATTCACCCTGTGGCCACCAGGGGGTGCACGCACCCCATGCTGGTCCACAGAGGCACCTGTGTGTTGGGGCAGTGGTCACGTGGCCAGAAACCTTAGCCTTCCTGGATCACTGGTGGTTTTGTGACAGTGACCAAGGGAAAGGCTCCGCCGGGGGAACCAGCCTGGCTCTGAGGCCAGGAGGACAAGGTGCTTACTGCTCCTCTTCTGTGTGATCCCACATAATGCCCCGCTTTCACGCATTCTAGTGGAATTCACCTCAAATACGCCAGGAGCGCCCAGTGCCCTCCACTTGGCTGGAATGTATTCACGAATAGGGTTTCCCCGTGAGCTGGCACAGGCCGCCGTGGCAGGCGACAGGCAGCTGTCCGCCCTCTGCTGGCCTCCGGTCCTCGGGGTGGGCGGTCCACCAGGTGGAGGAGCAGCCTCCACCGCCCACAGGGAAGCCACCGCCTGGGCTGGGCCCATCGGCCTCCCAGGCTGCATGTCAAAGTGCAGAGCTTGGGGACCCCCAGGGACATCGAGGCCTAGGACTGCCAACTGGAGGCCTCCGCAGCCAGCAGCTGGCGTGGCCGGGGTAGCGGGAGCAGCGATGCAGGCGGCAGGCGCTGTCATGCAGGAAGGCGGGCCCGGGTTCCACCGGATTTGACTGGATGAAGGTGGAAGTGGATTCTAGCTTCCCCATCTCATAAAACGTGGGCAACATTCAGTCTCACAAAGGACACAGTGCAGGCCAGACCCAGGCAGGGCAGCTCCCCGCCAGCTCCTCCCGTGTGGGGAGATGAGTCAAGGTCTCAGCAGGAGGGAGGAGAAGGACAAGGTCAGCGCAGCCGAGGTGGCGGAGGGGACTGAGGTCGCATGTGGCCTCTAGGGCGGCCGGCTGGTGTCTGAGCCTTTGCTTCCGCCTAGACCTCCTGGAGTCTGAGCGCAGCCCACAGCTGATCTCCAGGGGCCCCTGCGTCTCAGCCAGGTGAGCGGAGCGGGACCGGGCCAGCAGGTGGCAGAGTGAGGGCTGTTGGCAGGCGACAGCCTTTTGAGGGTGCGATCATGGCAGGAAGGGGGGTGGAGAGTTCCAGAATGCCGGGGCTGGGGGCAGAGCTGGGCTGCACACGAGCTCCGTGGCCCCTTCCTCCAGCAGTGTCCCCGTGTGGTGGTGGCAGCGGCTGGCCCGGAAGCTCCCGAGCCAGGTCACGGTGCTGGCCTTCCAGGGGGACGCACTGCTGGAGCAGATGAGCGTCATCGGCGGGAACCTTACGGGCATCTTCATCCACCGCGTCACCCCTGGCTCGGCGGCCGACGAGATGGCCTTGCGCCCAGGCACCCAGATCGTCACGGTGAGGTTCAGGGCTCTCATTGCTGCTGTTTGAACGGTGGTCTCATTGTCAGCTCCCGTGCGTGTGCGTGCACATCTGTGTTCAAATACACAGAACGCGAGATTCACCGCTTTCACTCTTTTAAAACTTTTTGTTGTAAAATATTCATGATGCTGCAGAAAACATAAATGTACAACTTAACTAATTACCATTAAGTGACTGCAGTAGCGGGGAGGTGACGTTGATGTCACTGAAACTTGAACTTTCAGCTTTTTAACAATTGTAAGAAATTCACAAAATAGGCGTCACCGTTCCCGAGGCTCGCCTGTCCCCCACAGGAAACCCCGCCCCCACGCCACGGGAGCCCTTTCTCGTGTCTCGTTGTCAGTTACATTGTGGTTACAGCCGCAGAGCCCTTTATGGTGTCTGGGGGACAGTCCTGAGTCCCGAATGGGGCCAGTGCAGCTAAAGGCACATGGTCATTCTCCTTACAAAGTGCCCTCTCGGCGTGAGGCGGCGAGGGAGTGAATGGAGGGACAGTGAGAGCCGGAGCTTTCACAGCGGGCGGGGGCGGGAGGATGGCAGCTTGCGGTGGACACCAGGGCCCGGGTGGCCCCACAGCACAGAGTGACCCGGCTCCACGTGTCAGTAATCCCAGCGCCGAGAACCTGTGATCTGGAACGCTCTAGAACGAAGGTCCATTTTGGAGAGCAGACCTGGGTGGTGCTCTCGGCATGTGGTTGGGAAGGGGGTGGTGGTTGACTCAGGGTGTGAACATGTGTGGCTTGGAGCAGCCGAATGCAGATGCCCTGGTTCAGGGCCTGGGACAGAGGCCCTGATGGGCATGTGGGCGGCTGGGAGTGCATGTGGGTGGCTGGGAGTGCGTGTGGGTGGCTGGGGTGCGTGTGGGTGGCTGGGGTGCGTGTGGGTGGTTGGGGGTGCGTG